CTCTCTCTCTCTCTCTCTCTTCTCCCTCCTTCCTCCTTCTTATCTCTTCTTCTTCGAATCCGAGAGTGTGAGAGGTTATCAGTAGGGATTCCGGCTGGGGTTGTAACGGGCGCACTGCCCAGGATCTGATTCGACACTTCTGAGACAGACATTGTTCGGACATTCGGCAAGAGACTATTTTGGACTTCGCCATTGCGATCTTGGTCTACTCTCTCGCCTCCTCCCTCTTTCATCTGTCCCTCCCCCATCTCTCATCCGTGGTTTCTCCCCATGTGTGTGTACGAAGGAGGGACCTTCCTTCCATGATTGCGGTCCCTCCTCTCTCGCCCATGTGTAATGTGTGATGGATGTCGGGTCAGTCCCGATCAGATCAGATCTTGTCTTTGAAATCTTCCGCTGTGCCATTTGCGCCATCTTGTATGTATCGGAATGTACACTGCGTGTTGATGCTGCGCTGATCTTGCATTGTCCATGTCAGTCCTTTTCATCACATTGTGGATCCTTGGTATACTGCGCATTGCTCCCCTGAGCATGCGTCACCGGAGCTGAAGTGGGCAGTGAGGAAGACAGCCATAGCTGGCCAGGAGGAAGACGACGACGGCCATAGCTAGGAGGAGGAAGATGACAGCGGCCATAGCCTCCCATCTGTTGTCACAGACAGAGTGTACAGAGTGTGTGTGTCTGTGTAGCGTGGACATTCAGGGTAGATCCTCGTACATGCGTGCATGAGAGAGAGTGAGGCTGATGGGGGAGACAGTGTTCGGCGGCCATAGCCGCAAGTTGTACAGTTGTCTTGAACTGTGTTTTAAGTGCAAGTTCATTGCTGATTCTGAGTTTGAGAAGTTGGTTTGCCATCGGTTTGTCCATGTATGCATGTCGCAAGCAAGTTTAGAGTGCAGTCTGATTTCAGAAACGTAAACGAGAGAAATTTAACCTCTTGGAAACAGGTCCTTTAGCAAAAAATGCACACATCGCAGATGTATGAAAAATTAGTCATATATAGCATCGTAATTCATACTAATATGATAGTATTAAATTACGCTTTCATAATGAAGTGATATATCCTACCTGCCTTACTCAACGCGAGTCAAGAGTAAGAATGAAAACCTGTACCTTGCCACTGTCTTTTTAGGCCAAAGACCGTGGCTGCATATTATCGGCAGACATTAGAAATTTATCTGTGAACAAAGTTCAACAAACAGAGAATTGAAGTGTGTGACCCTCTCACGAGTTGTCCTTTCGTTGTTGATATCTTTGCTCAGTGCAAGCAGCAACTGCTGATATTGCAGATTCGTTTGCAAGGAACGTAGCATAGCAGTGCAGTGTGTGATCACACTCGTCAGAGTCGTCGGGCCTCACCACACGGCACACAAAATGGAAAAAAAAAACAAAACGAGTGCATCTGCCCACAGAAGGTGGCAAAATACATTTGTTACTGTTCACAGTAAACCGGCTAATCTGTCCGCTTTCTGTGGTGAGATGCGCTCATTTTCTTCTTGTTTTCTGTGCCATGTGGCGTGCTCCATCCTTCTGCAGCGGTGCATCATTTTTTCTCTAGTTGATATCTTAACCGCACCGTCTGCTCCCCATTGACATACTCTCTGATCGTGATCTTCTCCTTATCATCTCCCTTTTTGAAGAAGTGATTTGCTGCATTTGGTTGATGGTCAACTATTATCATCTGCATACATGCGCTTTTCATGTTTCGGTGCGGTTGCTGTTATTTGCGCAGAGTGACTTTGAGCAGTGGTTCAAGATGATACTGCATCAGCCCCAGGTCATGACATCACAATATCATAAAAAAGACGGAGGGACAGAGACTCGATCCATGAGCACGAGGGTCATGCTGTCAGACAGCTCCCACACTGGCAATCTCCACTCCGTTGATGCAGCTCGCTGCAGTCCACTGGAACATAGTCCTCGATCCTCTGTGCAGGCTGCAAAGACAGGGTACGGTGCCGGTGGAGGGATCGAGCGACAGCGTGCTCAACTCCACCCATGTGACGCCGAGTTAATCAGCAGGCATTTTGATTCGAGCACCAGGGATCGTGGCAGCTATGGGACACCTCCTCTCAGTGCAGGGATGGTTACCTCAGAGAGAAGTACCAATGATGTTCGTGATTCTGCCACCAAGAATCACACAGCACAACAAGGTGGCAGCAACATTGCTTCTTCCCCAGAGATCCTTTCGACAAAAAGGTCTGGAGAGAATGTAGGTGGCAGTGGGCACAGCAAATCCAAAACTAGAGCACGTCCAACATCAGCTGCACGAGCGAGGAACCAGATATCAGCAGACAATGATGCAGCAATTGGATGCGCTTCCCCAAAACCATCTGACCCACTGAACGGTGCAGTTGACAGTCAGAGGACCAGTACGCGAGAGCAGAGCAAGAACAGGCGGCCGACATATGATCCCTGTAAGCTGGGAACCACAGTGCAATCAACCAATGTCAGTCCTATATCTGATGGCGGTAGCGGTATTCGTAACAGGCATCTTGGCGGCGAGCCAGATGGACATCAGATTCTATCTGTGAAGCATTCCTCCTACAGTCCTGATGTAGGAGGGAGGTTTCCGGTCCCACATTTCCCAACTACGGCACAACTGACTAGTGCCGGCCAGAATCCCATGATATCGGTGGTGGAGATTGCACAGGGAAAGAAAGACCAGCAGTATGACAGAGACATTCATCATTCCGTTCGGCAACAAAGACCACCTTCTGGAGGTGTGTATTGCACAAACAATAGTAAAGCAGAGCAAGTAGATGAGCGACAGAGGAGCCTGAGGATACGGGCGAACAAAAGGGACCACTTGTCGAATCTCCAAGATCCGCTTCCACTAGCCCGCTCGGCATGGATGGAGACTCCACCCAATGAGAATGTTGTAGGAAAGAATAGCTCTGGGGAAATGCCATGTCCCAGAAATGCAGCCTTTCGCGATTCGAGTAATCTGATCGAGACAAGGACACCTGTGAATGAAGTGCCAACATCTGAAACCTTCTCGACTCCTCGGCGGGTGAGGATATCGCCATCGGTAGTCACTCATGGAGGGGAGACAGGCCAAGAAAGGAGAGAGAATGAGGCTCCCATTTCCATAACTGGAAACCCCATGGCAGATGCTGACATCATAGCCTTCTATAAAGCCCGAGAGAAGCTAAGGCAGACAAGAATCAATGCGGCACAATTGCGGATGATATAGGTAGGCTTCACCACTATTGGACAAATGTAGTGATGGACACAAGTAGTTCTTGCTGGCTGTATTGGGACGCACCGCTGTTGCTGCTCAGAAACAATTTTGCGTTCATGCCGTTGGGCCTCAGCAATCGTTGTCGTTGATGAATGTATGGTGGGGCACAGTTATTGCGATGGTCCTCACCTACTTGTAGGTCAAGTAGAGATGAGCAGCAACGGTACCATGATTGCTGTGTCCCTTCATTTCTGCTCTGGATAACCAGTATTAGAGTCATAAGATGTCCACAAAGCACGAGTTGGGAGGCTTTTTGAGTGTCTACTGTCTGGCTTATTCATAGAGGAATTTTCAGACCAATAAATGAACGAAAGTTGCTGAGACACGTCAGTTTGCTGAAGAGACAATTTGCTGAAGGGAAGCGTCATGCATTGCAGAAGAGACACGATTCTTGATCTTACAATGGCGTGGCCCACCCATGCTCTATGCTGTTCCATACTCACCCTGGGGTGGTCAGTAGGTTCGGATAAAGGAAGCTGGAGGCCTGTGGGGCGAGTGACTTGACAGCCCTTGGCCTGTGTGAAGAATCGAACCACCGTCACCTCCAACCCTCCGATGCCAACCCTGCAGATCTCGCCATGGGCCAGTTTCCAAACACTGGCAGGAACAGGTGCAAAGGCCAACTTCGAGGCGAAGTTCTCTTTTCGGTTTCAGGGCCTTCCAACGAGTTTCGGATTTCAATCTGCCACCCATTCTATGCATGCTGCATGCTAAATTGCGGACTTATATCTCTTTAGCAGGATAGTAGTTTCCCATCAGATCCCAGCTTTTGATTTTCGTGCTATTATCATGCTTCTGTTCCATTTTTTTGTTGTCGGAGTGTTGGGTGAGTGGTTTTATTTGCCAAGAGCCCTACGGTCTATGGTGGTTAGCAAGGGATCCAAGGACTGCTCCTGCACACAGTCTGATGCATGCCCATCTGAACATGGATGATGCACAGGTCCAAAGGAGCCCTACTGTGGCAAATAGGACTCAGGGCAAACAATGCGGGCAGCAAATAAGCGATGTGCATCCAGAACCGAAACGATATAATGTAATGTAGCACAGCGGAAGACTCAAAGATATGACCTGACTCGACTCATACAGACCATCACACATGTCGAATCAGCAAGGAGGGAAGCATGCATAGAAGAAAGAGCCCTCCTTGTGCACACATATCGGAAAGGAACCACGGATGATGGCGTTGGGGAGGAGACGAAGAAGAAAAGAAACGGAGAAGACAAGAGAATAAGTCGAAGTCCCCCCAAAATACTCTCCCCATCAAATATCGAACAATCGTCTCTCTCAAAATGTTGAATCAGAAGCAGGGCGCTCACAGGCCCAATATAGTCACTGCCTGAATTCTCTCTCTCTCTCTCTCTCTCTCTCTCTCTCTCTCTCTCTCTCTCTCTCTCTCTCTCTCTCTC